GGCGACAGAAAAGATTGTAAGAACTACCGAGGGCTTAGTGTAACTAACTCAATCTGTAGAGTCTACGAGAAGATAATTAAAAGCCGAATTGAAGATTGTTGGGAAGACGCTGAAGATCAGAGTGGCTTTCGTACTGGTCGTTCTTGTATAGACAAACTCTGCCTAAAACAAACAATAGAAAAGCGTTTGGAACATAATATGGAGACACACATGGTATTTATTAATCTTCAAAAAGCGTATGACAGTGTCCCATTAGCCAAGCTATGGCAGGTGCTAGAAGACAAGAATATTCCACCGATTTACATTAATGCTGTAAGGGAGTTGTACGATGATATGACGAGTGTAATAAAGATTGGACAAAAAGTCCGTATCTACTACATGTTACGAAAAATAGATGAAGAATATACTAATGAGATGAGGCTTATCAATTAATCCATCAAAAACAGAGTACGTAGTAGTGGGAGGTGAAGGAAAGCACTTAGAACTAGGAAGCAAACAAATTCAAAATACTGATAAATGTAAATATGTAAAAGAAATAGCTACTGGAATTGGTCAAGGAAATTCAGCAATACGTCAACTGAATAGTATACTTTGGAATAACCACATCACCCAAAACACAAAAATTAGGATATACAAAAGTAAAATAGAAAGCATTGCTGCATATGGTTCAGAGCAAATAAAAATGACGCATCTAAAATAAAAGCAATGGCAATGAATAATTGGAGAAGATGTTGCCAACTCACTAGAAGAGGTAGAGTAAGGAATACTGAAATCAGAGAGGGTATAGGCATAGACATTGACATCCTGGAAACTATAGAATACAAAAGGCTGAAATGGTATGGCCATGTAGAAAGGATGAATGATCAACGATGGCCAAAGAGAATGTTACAGTGGATCCCCACCAACCGCAGGAAAAAGGTAAAACCAAGATCGTGGAGGCAAGAAGTAAAACGTGCAATGGAAGATAGTGGTCTACAAGTAGATGACTGGAACGATCGCAAGCGTTGGAAGCTAGGTTGCGAGAAACGGCGGCAGCTGTAATAAACTCGTTATATATATATATATATATATATATATATATATATATATATATATATATATATATATATATAATATATATATATATATATATATATATATTATATATATTATATCGGACGATATAAATATTATCTTTTATAAGAACAAAACATAAAAATTACGGCTTTTATAGCACTAAATATTTTCTAAGTACCTATAAATAAGTTACACGCCTCGAAGGCATGTTCCTCTTTTATTGGTTTACCGTTTATCAAATAATATTTCAGCTTTACTCACACACCTTCAAAAAACAATACATTCAACAGCTATTCGTTATTGGTATGACAAGTTGTACCAAAAATATTGATTCACCAATAAAAATGTATAAACTTAAAACTAGTTTTACCGATAAGCATGTTCCGTCTTTGATTGGTTTCCTATTTTATCAAATAATATTTCAGCTTTACTCACACACCTTCAAAAAACAATACATTCCGCAGTTACTCGTTAGTAATTTGATTAACACACACCCAAAATTATGGAATCACCAATCTTAACACTAGTTATACTGATAAGGCGATAAGGCTGAAAAAACTTGTCCGAAATTTATTTGACTAATAGCAAGTTTTGGGTGTTATCGATTTATAACTGGCTTTAATTTGGACTAATCACATTGGCAGTTACTTATTTTGGAATAATATAATTTTAAATATACCAATTAAGTTAGTAAAAAATAAGAATTTCGTCGTCATAACCGTCTAGAGGGGTTTGACAGTTAAAATGTGTAGTATAAAAAAGACTTTTATCTAGGGATTCGTCAATTTTTTTAATGGAAATATGTTTACAATAAATAAACAACCAAAACGCAAACTTTGTGTTGAAAAGGGTTATACTTACGACAACAGTTTATTGTGGACAAGACAAAGTAGAAGGTCAGTCGTCTTCTGAAAATATAGTTCGTACACTGGCAATAGATTTATTGAACAAAGAACGCACTATTTATACCGACAATTACTACACCAGTATTTCTTTAGGTCATTCATTATAAGGAAAAGAAACTCGTTTGGTTAGAACACTGAGAGCTAATCGAAAATTTAATCCAAAAGCAACTCAAATTCAAAAATGGAAGGACAAACGTGATATGTTGACATTGAGCACAAAACATACTTCAGAGCTTCTACAAGTTACCTCTGGACGCAAGCAAACAGAAAAACCGTCCACTGTTTTTGATTACAATAATCATAAAGCTTTTATTGACCTATCTGATCAGATGAAAGCTTATGCTACTTCTTAAGACGAAGCTTGAAGTGGTATAGGAAATTATTATTTCACACTTATTGGAACATCATTAGTCAATACTACACCAGCAGGTTACGAATGACAAGATGACCATTACTAGATTTAATGAACTTTGTCACATTGGAATTACTTCAAATACAAAATACGGAGCAATATGTTCGTAATGAACCTCTATTGACGCAGCATGTGTTAAGAAGATGTTGGTCGAAATGGAAGACGCAGATGTATTGAATATTTCTTGGCCTTTCTCGAATACCATTGAACGCCAGACAGGTTTTTAGCGCAGCGGACCCTACTAAAAAATACTTGTTAGAAATAATATGTTTACAGTTTAGGTTATGAGTCATATTTATCGTAACAATATGCTTAACAAAGCTGTTCTATTTTATTATTTTACAGCCATTCGAAGAAGAAGGATGAAACCCTGTATAATCTAAACTAATTTTAATATATTATAAATGAAGCTCACGACTACCTCGTATTTTTGTAAATAACTTTTTTATTATCTCCTTTAATAAAATATTATTTTATTTCAATGTATATTCCACAAAGATATCAATAGTGTTGAAGTTTCCTTCTATAAACATAAATAACTAAAGTATAATATATTATGGAAAAATTTTTCTAGAAACCTTATCAAATTGTTATTTTAATAATTTGTTTATATAACGCATAAATGTTTACGTAATTTAAATAAATATGTGGATTAAATTGCTAATACTCTGAAGAATTAGATCATAGTACAGGGTCATCAGCATAGGATGTTCTTTAGTCATCAATCATTTAAGTATACTTGTTTTGAAAATGCATGATAGTACATTTTTATGACAAAAGATTACAACTGTCTTTGTGCAGGACTTCTCAAAGTAAAAATATTTGTAGAAAACCACTGCAACAAACCTTAATCAACAAATTATTTATCTACTTTATTTGTAATAATTTATTTATCTAGAACATGTATTTTTAGTCAAGTCTATGGTACAAACTTATGTGGAAAGTATATGTAGAGCTGGTTCCTAAAAAAACTCATACGACTCTAAAAGCGTATTTTAGAGAAAATTGAGCAGTGTATTTTGAAGTATAAATACTTATTATTTACATACTGTCACTGTCATGGCCAAATCTTAAAATTTGTCAGATAACTTATTCTGTTTAACCTCAAAAAATGGCTCCACATGCTAGGAAAGAACTAAAAGCAATAATTGTAACGAAATTAGAAGATGGTTGGTCACTATCTGCCGTAGGGAACCATTTTAATGTAAGCAGAACAACAGTTTTTAATATTAATAAAAGATGGAGAGATTAACAAACTATCGAAAGATAGCGAGGTTCTGGAAGAGCAAAAATATCTACCGCTCATGAAGATCGTACGCTTTTGGAAAGATTAGAAGAAAATCATTTTGAAAATGCGAAAACTGCAAGAAATATGTCATAGTTTCCGGGAAAAAAGACAACAACTTGGCGCAGAATTAAAGCTTCGCGTCTTGGGTACCGAACTGCAGCAAAAAAAAACAAGCTCTTACACCACAACAGAAGCAATCAAAACTTATATTTGCTTTAAACCATCAGTTACAAAATCAAGATTTTTGGGACGGGTAAATATTTATAGATGAGAAAATTTCTCAATCTTCTAAAAAGGGCACAATTTTATGAGGATGGGGATGGATTTCATCTAGAGGAATGAGAATGGTATGGCGTATTGATGGCAGGTTTGTTGGACAGACATCTGAAACATCATCTTTCCCAGTGTAGAACAGTTGTATCCAGAAAATAATGTTATCCTCCAACAAGGTAATTGTCCTGTTGACACTACAAATATAATAAAGCAGTGGTTCCAGAATAACAACATCGAAACCTTACCATGGTCCAGCTACAGTCCCGATTTAAACCCAATCGAGAATGTGTGGGGGGCTATTATAAAACGATTGTATCAGCGTAATTTTGTACCTCAAATTACTGGAGAGCTGTGGCATGGTATACAACAGGTTTGGGAAGAGCTCTCTAAAGAAGATAATATAGTTCCTTTCACGCAGATGGACCGAAGACTACAAGCTGTTATTAATGCCGATGGAGATAATACAAAATATTAATTTTATTTTTACATACCTATATTTAGTATAGTTTTGGTCTTCTACACTCTCGCTTTCTTTCGTTCTTGATTCCTTCATTTTTTATTAAAAGAAAAACTGTGGTTCTACTTATGTTAAAATGTTTTTTGCCTCTAATTTGGTTACAATGTTTGCTTTAATATATTGTTGAGTTAAGTCGTTTGTTTTATTCCTTAATAATAATAAAAATAATAACAACCCTATTTTATGTATAAAAATCATTTACATACTCTTTATAAATGCAGAAATCCAAAATAGTATCAAAATTTAGAACTTCATAATTATTACAATTTATGAATTAAAAATGTGATCAATTGTTTGTTGTTTGTTTGTTTATTTTAATATTTGACTGTCATAATAAATATAATATAATGTCAGACCAATCAAGTACACTGCTCAAAATGATCAAATCTTACCAAGAGTCGTATTAGTTTTTTTATGACCCAGCTGTACCTAACAACTTTAACTTGTGTTATACAAAAAATATCGTATAGGAAGCCCTTAAATTATATGATAAGATGTATACAGGCGATAAGATGTTTTTGTTTTAAAAAATCTGTGTTCCTATTTCAGATATCCTCGTGTACACTGTTGCCACTGACCAAACCAACGGCTTCGACAGATACCTCCATTCAGCCAACGAATTCAACATTCAACCTCAAATACTGGGTTTGGGGTACGAATGGAGAGGTGGCCAAGTCAAAACCCATCCGGGAGGTGGCTTCAAGTTCAATTTGTTGAAGAAAGCACTGGAAGAACATAAAGCCAGCAACAAATTAATACTCTTTACAGATTCTTACGATGTGATATTTTTAGGGAAGATGGATGAACTTATTAGGAGATTTAAACAAACTGGTAAGTGAAAAATGTAGTACGATTTTTTTTTTTGAAAATCGAAACACTTTATCCAGTGCGAATATTTCTTTGCCCCGGATAAAGAATTATTTACACTTAAGTGCTTATTTAAACGTTGTACACATCTTATGATATTCTACTAACTATTTGTTGAAAACTACAAACTATATTATAATAACCAGAAATAAATTCTAGAGAATTCTGAAACAAATTCTTCTCATACCCAAACTTTTTTAGGTGCTAAAATTCTTTTCGGCGCTGAGCCTTTCTGTTGGCCCGATCCGAAACTAGCTGATCAGTATCCGGAGGCCACCGAAGGAAAAAGATTCTTAAATTCGGGAATGTTTATTGGATATGCGCCTGAAATTTACAAATTATTAACTAGAGATGAAATCCAGGATACAGACGACGATCAATTGTATTGCACCAAAGCGTATTTGGACCAACAGTTCAGAGACGAAGCTCAAATCAAGCTGGACCATAAAAGTGAAATATTCCAGAACCTCAACGGTGTATCAGGTTAGTATAAATATGATTTTTTTTTATTTACGCTGTAACCACAAGTGTTATTAGTGACCTAAAAAAATATAATACAGGTAAAGTTTGAAAAAATTACAATAATTGATATAGTCCTGAGTCTTTAAGATAACTTACTGTGTTTTTAATGTTTTCATGTTTTTTCCTAAGGTTTCTTAGGGAGTGTTACTTGACAATTTCCACACATTAGCGGCACAATTCGTGTAAAGAGGTGTAAAGTTACTGTGTCCTAATCGTAAACGTGTTATTCTCACTTGGTCGTGTCTATTCGCAGTGGGTTGGAACCACGGTTTCACTAATTGTTTGATTTCCTTGAGTTTATTTTGTGATACAGTCCACTTATTTTGCCACACACTTCAAACTTTATATTTTATTTCTGACTTGAAGTCATCTGAGAAAACCTTATCTGATCTGATCTGATCTTATTATTATTTAAATTCTCTTTTTCTGATTGGATATATGAGGTAATTGGATTATTGGTATATAAACTTTTGATAGTGTGAAGTGAGCTTAGTGAATCGGTTATTATGAGAGACGGGGACTGTTTCGACTCTTTTATGTGGATAAGTGCTTGTAATATTGCAAACAACTCTGCAGTGTATGACGAAGTAATGGGATTGAATTTAAATTTTAAGGATATATTGGGTGTGTGTATGGCTGCACTAACACCGTCTGAAGATTTGGATACATCAGTGTATATCTTACAGAAGTTTCCATTTCTATTAAAATGATTGTTTGATCAGGTCTGTTATGGTCTCACTTTTTTATATATATACTAAGGTTAGTATTAGTCTTGGGAATTGGTATTAACCAAGGTGGAGAAGTTAGAAAATTTGTTGGAGAATTTTAGGAAATTCAAGATGTAGGTCATGAAGGTTATTTTTAACTCTTTCTATAAATACGATTGTTTTCATTTAATTTCAGAAAAGATTAGGTCCAGTGTTAGATGAACTTTTGTTGCTCGCAAGACTGTTTTGTTCTGAGCACGTTTAATCACCATTTACTTTTGTTTTGACTATTCTGAAACGTCTAGTATTGGTTGTTGCATTTACAACAGGGAACAAAAGAGACCACAGCTCTTTTTTCTTTAGTAAAATACTCTAAAATATATATAGGACTTTTTTTTGGTATTTTTGCACATCTTATTTTGGATTCATCGAAAATTTGAAACTAACCAAACATTATTTTAGCTGAAATCGAAATCGCTACTCGGCAAGAAAAAGAAGGGGAAGGAGAATTATACTACGTCAGGAATACGTTGACTCGTACTGAACCCTTGGTCGTTCACGGAAACGGTGCAGCAAAATACACTCTGAACTATCTCAGTAACTACGTTCCGAACGTATGGAACTCTGTGGACGGGTGTAAACAATGCAAGAAGGGAGCGATCAATCTCGGTACTGTGGCGACCAAAGATTTCCCGTCCGTGCTGATTTCTGTATTCATCGAACAAAGCACGCCGTTTTTGGAAGAGATGTTGCAGAAAGTGTACTTCTTGGACTATCCTAAAGAAAGGGTTCACATTTTTATTCATAATTCGGTAAGTACTATGATTTTTTTCCATTGTCGTTTTGTTATTTTATGTTTAACTTCTTAATGTGGTTCTGAAAGTTTTTTCGTTTGTATTTCTATGGTACTACTCTATTTAATGTGAATAAAATATCACTTGACCGTGTAAAAAAGCCATACAAATGTAGAATTACAAATTTACAGAGTTGCAAAAACTCAGATAAGAATGGTTTTATATACAATACATAATTATAAATTGCTGAAGGATAAACTTGGAAATATAGGCGAGAAAGTCAACGATGATAAATTTGCCTTACATCATAAAGGATCCAAGGAAAGGAGAAAGGATCAGGAAGTGGAAAACTTCAGTCAAAGATGTAAAAACCAACCCTAGCCCTGAATGTGGGCCAGGTCTCAAATTACTAAGAGCAGAATTCAAAATAAAGTTTTACAGAACGACAAAAACAGCAAGCACAACCAGAAAAGTACTTAAAGACTTTGCAAATTCCAATTGGTTCTAAAAAATGGCAGGACATCTGAAAGCTACAGGAGATCCAGGAAAAACTTTGGATTCTCAATGCGTTAGATGTAGCAAATATCCCAAAGAAATATAGACATGGAAACACTGATTGACAGAAGAAAGGATGGGCTGGTGGAAAACGAAGATTAGTAAAGTGCTGTACAAAGATCAGAGATAGAAGTCCACAATGTGTCACATATACGTGAAATTTTCGAGATATTCAGACACTCGCACATACATTGGTCTTCGACACCGTATTTAACATAGGTCTTCAGTACTGTTACTCGCTCCTAGTATGCTTTAATCTTCTACTACTAAGTGATGGGTGGGTCTTGTGATGCATAAAATGTCAGTAGATGAGTAATGCCGGTTCTTTGCGAAATGAGTCCCAATAGTTCAATATTATCCGCTAGATGGCGCCGGTATCCAGTGGAGTATTTGTTTTCATGCGCCGTTATCTCTCTTGGAATCTACATTACGGACTGTCATAGTTCAGCTTTTATCGACGGACATTTTTATTTCATTTACGTCATTTTTATTCTGTTATTTCTATTAATTTATTAAACAAAAAATTAACCGAGTGCGGAATTGAACTCATAACGCTAGATCTGCGGCCAGAAATGATCGTCGCCTACTTTGAATGAATAGAATAGAATATACTCTGAAAATTCTACAATTCTATGGACAAAGTGTACAGAAGTCAAAAAATAACAATAACAATTAAAATTTAGTAAAATTATATAAATCGTTAATATCACAAATTAAAACATAATATAATATACAATCCATTACAAAGTTAGTTAGTTAATTAACTTATTTGAAAACTGCTTCTCTTTAAGAAGCGTGATAAGAACTATAACTAGCTTCTATTTGAGAAGTTAAAAAAAGGTTTGACTTTACGTGCTTCTTTTTGAAAGGTAAAAACGAAGTGCTTTTAGGGTAGTTTGGTTGGAATATTTTGAATCTGAAATACTGACAGGCGCAGCTGATACGAAACAACGCGAAGAAGGAATGTCGTGCTGATCGCATAGTCTTTAATTTAGTATTTAAGATATACATATTAGGAGAATAATAATTATTATCGTTTATTTATTTAACAACTATTGTAGAAAATACAATTAATTTTCTACACTAACTCAGTGGACGGGATCGGTAAATACACATCAAAGCTTGAATTTCTGGTGGAGTAATAATCATAATTAGGTCTAGAAAAATGTAGGTGTTTGCGAATTAAGCAAACAGTTTCTAGAATATATAAAGAGGGAGGAGTTAAAATCCCGTGATTTTTGAAGAAGCTTCTCTAATGTGTTATTCCACTGAGGTCAAAAAGATACCGTATTGCTCTTTTTTATAAGTTAAAAATAACATCAGATTAGGCAGCAGCAGATTAAAACCCCAAAAAGGAAGCCATATCGAAGATGAGACTCGAACAAAAAAAATATGTTATTTTGGAATATGCTAAATTGATTTCTTTCTTCGAAACAGATCTTACTGCATAGCAGGCTGGGGCTAGTTTCTTACTTAACGAATCGATATGAAGGGATCATTTAAGATTTCTTTCTATAAAAATACCAAGAAATTTTACAGAATCAACGATACTGATCTGGATGTTATTAAGAAGCAAGGGTTGAACAGCTCCGTTATATGATAATGCTACTTATCTACGTTAAAAGAGAGTAAATTAGAGTCGGACCAGGTTTTTATTTTAAATATATCAGAAGTTATAATTGCATGAATAGTTGCAATATTAGAATTCCTCCAGGTAAAACTGGTATTATCAGCAAAAAGAAAAAAATTTCCATCGATTTTTCAGTTAGTGATGCCATTTATAAAGAAGGAAAAGTAGGGGACCTAGTACTGAACCTTGCGGTACTCCACAAATTTTTGTAACTAGAGTCAGTATCATTTGCTCTAACTAGTTGTTTCCTATACCTCTAGTAAGATTGGAACCAATTCAAAGAAATACCTCGAATTTCGTAGAAATTTAGTTTTTTTATCAAAATATCGTGATTTACACAATCAAAAGGCATAGTCACAAAAAACAGTGGCAGTGTAAATATTATTGTTTAGTGCTTGATAGACCTTATGTATTACAGACAACATAGCATCGCTGGTGCATTTATGCCGAATTAACTTCGTGATAAAATGTTGTTTTCAAGGAGAAAGGACATAAGTCGGGCTCTTATAAGTCTCTCAATAATTTCGGATAGGACCGGTATTAATACTTTCACTGCGAATTTTAGAGTGCGTCGCGCCTAAGAAGCGGCAACGTTTTGTGCTACATTATTAAGCGGAGTTTACATTGGTATAGTAAACGGGTTAGTTGCTTGTACCAGTAGCTTGTAAGATAGATAGATAGATAGATATATAGATAGTTTATTTGACTGTAAGTTACAACTAGGTTTACAGCAAGTCAAAACTAAAATTATAAATATTAAATAGTACAAAAAATGGAAACAGTACACTAAAAATATTTAAATCATTAAAATACTTAAAAAACGTACAATATAGACATATAACTAAAATATTAATAAATTTGGATATGTTGCAGCTTAGGCATTCACAGATACACCCTCGTAATATTCACCTAATGTATAAGGACACATGGTTACTAGGTACTCTTTGATTTGGTTTTTAAAAGCTGTAGTTGAATTAATGTTTTTAAATTTTTGAGGAAGTTGATTATACAGTAGTAAACCACAGATAGTAGATGACTTCCTGCTTATTTCTAAATGTCGATAGGGTACTACAAACTGTCTCTTACTTCTTGTGTTGTGTGAGTGAATATCACTGTTACACAAAAAAGTTCTTTTATTTTTATGAATTAGTATCAATAATTCCAAAATGTAAATTCCATACACTGTTAATATATTCAAATCTCTAAATAGGTTTTTACAAGACCAACCATACGGAACACCTGCTATACATCTGACAATACGCTTTTGGGCCTTGAAAACGTCCTTTACACTAGAAGAACCACCCCAGACAGTTATACCGTAACTTATTGTCGATTGTACCTCAGCAAAATAAAAAAGACGAAGGTGTTGCAGACTAAGTATTCTACCCAAATTTCTCAATTGATAACATTTAGAATTGAGTTTTTTACATACATTCCAACAATGAGTCTTAAAAGATAAATGAGAGTCGAAAGTCACTCCTAAAAACTTCACATCACTACAACTCAAAATATTCTCACCATTGATGGAAATACTTAAATCAGGTTTATTAGAATTTGAACGTGATGTAAATGATAAAAATTTATTTTTGTGAACATTGAATAGGAGCGACTGATTACTGGACCAATCAGAGAAGGTCTTCAGTGAGTTTGTTATTTTATCTTGTAAAAAATTTATATCTTTATCGCGATATAGCATTGTTGAGTCATCCGCATAAACTGATACAAATGCATCAGGCATTACATGTGGTAGTTCATTAATATACAAAATAAATAATATAGGGCCCAATATTGAGCCCTGTGGTACTCCATTCTTATTAATAATCGGATCAGACATTGAAATCTTGAAGTTATTTTTCACTTTAACTATTTGGTGCCGGTCTTTCAGATAGGAACCAAACCAACTATGGGCGACAACTAAACCAATGTCAATCTACCGGGTAAGTACTTGTACAAGTGCTTGTACCAGTAGCGAGGACAGGTAAGTAAATAGCTAGCCCATCTATTTACTTGCCTACTGCCCTCCCCTTCCCACCAGATTTTCGCCTCGACGCAAGTAGCATGGCAAATGGTTTGGTAACTAGTCGAGTGTAGACGGGTGTGCATGTGTAAGTGTCCTGGCAAATAACGTTGTGAGAGCAGTGTCGCGGTTTTCTATTTCTATATTGTTTTTTTAATTTTACTGGTAAAAGTGAAATAATGAAGTGGTCCGAGAGAGAAACTGTTAAATTTGTCGAACTTTATCGGGAATACGAATGTCTCTGGAACGTTACCAAACAAAGTTATAGAAATAATCAAATGAGATCGGCAGCTTTAGAACAATTAGTTCAACACATGGGCGTTGAGGGATTTACTGTTGCCGAAATTGCGTCGCAAACTTCTGGTACAAACTAGATATTGATGTTTTTGGAACTCGAAAAAAAAAATGTTGAAGAGTTCTGTCCTGTTGCCAAAAAATTGAGGGTAACTTCTAATTTAACGTGCGCTGGTAAGGCGTCTCTTAAAAGCGTGTCACTTCTTTGAATTCTAGGCAGAACCATATTTAGCAAGTATTTGAATTTACTCGTTGTCAACCGAAGGCATAATTTATATTCTTCAGGATCTTTCATACGAAGTTCTTTTAAAAGAAGAGTGGATGCTCCTCTTGTACTTTTTCTATTAATCCACCTTCGAACCCATATCCTTTTTGGACGACTTTTTTTTTCTTCAATTAAATTAACAGCTTCTTCAATTAAAATTCTCAATTATTGCACAAAGCACGGCGCCGGCAATGGAAAGGTTTCATCTTTACGCACCTGGTGCTCGTCGGGAACTGGTGAATAAATAATCTTTTATGTGTAAACACTTACTAGCATGTCAACTTGCGTATGTGAACTGTCCTGGATATACTTGTACAAGTAACTGGTGCAAGTAACTATACCAATGTAAACTCCGCTTTACTCATTTTACGAACTACCCCGATCGGGGCCACACGCACCTCGAAGTTAACCGACGTGGCCCACATCGGGGTCATGCGCATTTAATGTGTTAAGGCAATAGGTCTATAGTTGCCGACATTAGATTTTTCACCACCCTTATGAACAGGAATAATAATGGCTGTCTCTTTCAAAGGAATCGTTAATTAGTGAGACCAGGACTTTTAACACACTTTTTGGAAGTTTTAAGAAAATTTTTATGGATAGTCCATCAGTACTACAGGAACATTGGCTTTTGATACTACTGGTTGTTTGAATCAGTTCACATTTATCAACTTGTCTTATATAAAGAATGAATTCGAGAACTTTTTTGAATTGGGATTCTAGCAAAATAGTTGATATTATATTTTTACTCACATTAACGAAGCATTCATTTAGATTTTCAGGGTTTGGAAGACAAAATGTTTGAGCTGTGTTAGTTTTATTTCGAAGATCGTTTATTTTGGATCATGTTTCTCTTGCAACGTTTTTAGTGCTTTCCTGATGATTCTGATAGTAATTTTTTTTAGCTGTTTTGATAAATTTTAGTTAGGTTCCTCTGTACTTGGAGATATATTCAGTGACAAAGGCGTTGGTAGTAAATTTCTTAATGTACAGTAGTGAATGCATATTCTTGGCTGATGTACAGATACCTTTGGTGGTAGTCCATTGAAGATTATGATCAATACAAAAAAATCTTAGATCGATGTAGAGGAGACAGGCATATATTCGTAAATAAAAAATAAACATATTTTTGACAATGCAATTTAATTATACACAGATGCAAGCTAAGATAGCAGAGTTTTTAATTGATATAAGATATTTTCGTTAATGTTAATAACAATGGCCGTCTAGTGGATAAAATCTGAACTCTGCCAGTAATGTGGATTCCAAGAGGGACAGCGGCGCATGAGAGTAGAGACATCCTCCATTTGATATAGTTCGCGACATCATAATAGAAATAATGTAGATTAATTTAGAATTACAGGCGCCATCTAGCGGTTAATTACTCAAAACACATTATGTATTACCTACCTCGTTTAATTAGTCGACACTTTACCAGTTAATGTTAATTTAATTTAATCAATATTTCTTTTTATACAGATTGCACACGTTGGTTAATATCTGTAAGTTGAATTTGACTTAAAAAGCTCGAAACTGTTCGCCACTACTCCCAAGGCGTTCCCAAATCGAAATTGTCATTCATTTTGTTATATTTTATAAATGTTGTCATATTTTTGTTATATTTCACAGTTTCGTTTCCTTTCAGGTTAAATATCATATCGGCATCGTTAAAGATTTCGTAGAAAAGTACAGCAACGATTATGCATCGTTTAAACAAATAACTCCAGAAGATGGTACACCTGAGTGGACAGCTCGTGATTTGTCGCTGTGAGTATACATTTTGTAGGTTTAAAACATTTATATTACGCTGTCAAATTATTGTCTAAATTATATGTCGTCTGTATTTAACTGCAAGTAGGGTTTTGTATGATTTAGGCAGAATTAATCGCCAATAGATATTTTTTTAAAGCTGGTAAAAGTATTTAACGTGTTTGTAGCTTTATTATCAAAATTTAGAAGAATATAGAAGTTTAAACAACAAAATCGTGCAGAGATTGGAGGTAGCTGAGTAAAGGACGACCAAAAATAACAAATACCGAAAAATATAGCGGAAAGATTTACTGGTCGCTGCGGAACACGTAAAAAGGCAATGGTGGGCGGTTTCTCTTTACTTACTGCAGTCGCTTATGAGCGAAGGATACTTACCAATAACTATCCTTCTTATATAGTTATAAGTTTTCTTGTATAAAACTTTCTTACACAATCTTTATTTTGTTCCAGGGATCACTGTCTCGCCAAAAAATGTGACGTCTACTTCTCGCTGGACGCTATAGCGCATATAGACAATCCCTATACTCTCAAACTGCTCATCGAACAAAACAGGACCGTTGTAGCTCCGATGTTGACCAGACCGGGAAAGGCGTGGAGTAATTTCTGGGGCGCTCTCACCAAAGATGGATTTTACTCGAGGTCCAACGATTACATGGATATTGTTCACAACGAGAAACGGTAAGTAATTTTTATTTACACAATGTATTTAAATAATATAGATATTTGTCGTGCATAGTAAAGCATATAAAGAACAAATATTAGGAACAAAGAGAGAGTTTTTGCAGCTACAGTTATAATTCGTTTTTCTCTTTAGAAAATTGTATGTACTTCATGTATAGTTTGATCTATTGAAATAATTATTTACTCTATATTTTAAAATCATAATTAAGCTTCTTTATTAATCTTTACTTTTCTAAATTCCTCTTCCTTTTTCCTATTTCCTTCTTCTACAGTTTCTTTTTCTTTCATCCTATTCTTCTCTTCATCTCCCTTCTTCTTAAAATGCTTTCTCATAGTTAAGTCAACCTAAAAATTAATGTTTCTGTTTCTTCCTCCGTCTATCTTTCTTCCTTCTTCTACAATTTCCTCTACGTTGATTAAATGCGTTACTGTATCTTACATAAACTTTCGCTTGCTTTTTTTTCCTTCCTTCTTTCTTACCGAATCACTTTTCTGTTATTTAAGCCAACTTATATATTAATCTTTTTCATTTCCTCTTCCTTTCTTCTGTCGCCTTTCTTTTACAACGCGTTTCACATCGATTAAGTGACATACTATATCTATTATATATCTGCAATTCCTTCTTCTACTAGTATTTTTATATTGATTTGTTGAACTACTATATTTTTATATCAACCTTCTTCTTTTTCCCTCCTTCCTACGTTTTTGCTGTTCTTGTCATTCTTTTTTCGTTGTTTATGTCAACTTATATATTCATATTTCTCATTTCTTTTGTCTTTTTTCTTCTGCATTGCGTTCCATGTTGATTAAGTGACCTACTATATATCTTATATATAATTTTCTTTATTTCTTCCTTCTTTTACAATTATTTTCATATTGATTAACTTTAAAAATCAATATTTTTTGTTACACCTTCTCTCTTTTTTGTTTCCTTCCTTCATTTTTAAGTGAACCTTCTTTATTATTTTTTTCTTTTCTATGTCTCTTCCCCTTTCCCTCTACAATTCCCTCTACGTTGATTAAATAAGTTACTATTTCTTATATAAACTTCCTTTTGTTTTTATTTCCTCCCTCTAATCCGTTTTCTGTTATTTCCGTCAACGCATATATTAATATTTTCCATTTCCTCTTCATTTCTTCTATATTGTCAGTCTTTTACAATGTGTTTCATGTTGATTAAGTAGTCACCTACTATATTTATTATAATACATTATTAAAAATGTTTCCCAAAAGTTTGTTTTACATATTTTATTTTGACGCAAGCAAATTTCTTGTACTATTGTTATAGGCTGTGAGAATTTCATCAATATCGGTCAATTGTGATTAATATACTGGAAATACGTTTTTACATAATACGTAGCACGTTTAGGAACTTATATAAAGCCTACATTAAAACCTAACATATTTTATCTAAGTTGTTTCATATACATCATGCCAATATGTTCTCATCGTTTTCAGCTGTCAAATAATAACAAACTCGATGTAGAGTAAAGTGTAATTGTTGGTATATAAAAAATTAAATAAAGTTATTGATTTGTCATAAATATAGTACACTAGTCGAAAGCGATGCTGAAATCAGTTTTGAACGATCTCCGATCAATTGAGTACATGTTGTCAGCTGTACATTCGTATACTCCGGCGTCCATTTGAGTAGCAGGATCGATTTCTAACTTGCTTTTGATTTTATCTCTTCCCATTTGCCATTCGTGGATCTGGAAGAAAATATGTTGTCATTAAAATAAGATACGATTTCGAAATACGAGATTTAAAGGTTAATAGATTAAAGATAGATAAGATTTTTCAGAGCTGTAGTACAGGACCTTCATATCTGAATCGTGATTTATAATAAGACGAACTTACGCTTGAATTATAACGTAGAAATATACAATTATTGGAAGCATAGCTTTCTTATCGCGAGCTACGGAAGGAGCGGTGGATCGCCAGATGAGTGAAAAAAAATCAAACTGGGTGTAATGACAGATCACGCGACCACACACTACGTGGATTAATAAACGCAGGTCTATGAGTGTTTATTAATAAAATAAAATATAATTGATTCAAATCGAATATCTAATCGATTTGAAGAAAATTAAGTCGAGGCGAGACAAATGGAATCGAATCAATCGAATATCAAATCGAATTGAATCGAGTCAAGTGGAATCGAATGAGTCGAGTCGAGTAGAATCGAATATAATATGCCAATATCAGTAAATAATCCAGTCGTCAGTGGGCTGAACCCTAAAAATCATACAAAACAAGCTGAATGCTGCCAAGAATATTAATTTTGGGACCCCAAAAAGGATGCAAAAACGTTTACTACTTTTACCTCCGGGCTTCCCCCTAAAATCCCCCTAGTCTTCTTCTTCTTCTTCTTCGTCTAGCCATCCACGTCCACATCTGAACATAAGCCTCTTCAAGTCTTCCTTTCCATTGTTTTTTATTGTACGCTACTTGTAGCCAATTTTTCCCGGCAGTCCTTTTCAGATCATCTGTCCATCTCATAGGAGGTCTGCCTCTGGATCTTTTGTGTTGGTATGGTCTCCAGGTTAAAATTGGCGCAGATCAATTTTAACCTGGAGACCAAATCCCCCTAGTAGAGTTATAAAAATATTTCTAATAAAAAATATAGCTGAGATACAAACTGAGATTATTCGCGACAAAATACAAACTGCATACGAAACGCATCTTGGTTTTTGTAGGTAGGACACTTGAATCAATAGATATCGAATTTTTACCGTCGAGCTGATACAAATGTTATTAAACATTGAGAGAGAAAAGTTCATTCTACACAAAAAATGCTAATAAACATTTTTGTTTAAAATCATCTTAGCTACATTTTTTATTTGAAATATTTTTATACCCCTACGAGGGGGGTTTAGGGGGAAGCCCGGGGGTAAAAGTGATAAAGGTTTTTGTATCCTTTTTGGGGTCCCAAAATTAATATTCTCGGCAAAATTCAGCTTGTTTTTATGATTTTTAGGGGTCAACCCACTGACCACTAAATTATTTACTAATATTGGTATAGTAGATTTTGAGAAAAACGTCTCCCAGTTTTGAAAAATCTGATTTCGAGAAAAACGCGTTTGAAGAAAGTAGGTTTACTGTAATTGTATGGACTAAAATAGCCATAGTTTCTTTTACCTCTAATCAGCGATTCCTGGTGCATATTGAGTGAGTGCCCTCACTGTCCAGTGTTAGCTGTATATGGTCGGTCAACGCTTTTTTTAACTTTGTTATCTTTTGATGTCTCGCTGCTTCTTCTATTGGTTTGAATGTCAATACGAGCTTCGTCGATATTTTCCGACCAACTCATTGCTATTTCTTCAATTTCTATTTTTATCCAATTTTGCCAAGGATCTGAGTAATCCAGACTGTTTTCTCCAGTAAGATGATTACCTTTTAATTTTCTTTTCATATTAAGCTTATGTCAATGCGTCCTCTTCGACCACATTTTAAATAAACATCAGATCCAGGCCTTTTTTCAGATTTACAAAACAATAATAATATTCGATAAATTTCAATAATATACAAGTTTTAGAAAGCAATAATGAAGTTTTAGGTGCATAGTTTTAGCTCAGGTGAGTACCGTTATCAATGCAGCTATAACTTCGTTTCTATTTTGAATTTCTTAATAAAATTTTAGGACAGTTTTTCTATACAATAATAAGGAATGTTTTTACATAAAAACAAAACTAAAATTAATTTTTTTTTAATTTAGGAAGTAAAAGTCCACTTAAATTAAAAACCATCGCTTTGTGCTCAGATGATAAGAAAGCTATGCTTATCCTACTTGGTCACTCCAGGAGTCACATCCTGTTTTTTTTATATGTGGAATAGGTGTACTTACGTGTAAATATTGATGAGTAAATATCTCGCTGCCATCTTTATACCAAGTAATATGGGGTCGTGGATTTCCTCTAGCTACACACAAAAACGCTATTTTATGGCCCAAGACGTATTCATAGTCAAAGTGTGAGGCTAAAGTAATTTTTGCTCCCTATAAATTAATATCAAAAGTAAAAATCTCGAAACTGCAATTAAGTGATTTCAGTTTTTGATATATTGTTGATGGCAAAAGTTTTTGTATGAATAAAAACATGACATATTACACTTGAAGAGACAGTGATCATAGACAAAACATGCATAACTTTGAAGGCTACTAGGTGTAGTGTGAAGCTGACGCTCGGTGTGTAGGCGCGTATACTTTTGCTTGAAACTTCACTTCGGTTAGATCAATGCGAGCCAGATATTCAATAGCCCGCTACCCAACCGCTCTCTTTTTTAACTTATCTGAACAGTTGTTCCATTTTAACCTATATTCCATCTCTATCTATATCCGACTATATTCTATATTTCGTTTTATTAGCATATATCTAGTCGCCATGTTTGAAAATATATAAAAAAATACAGGGGAAAAAGTTCCCTAAAGAGCTGGCGAATATTAAGCAAGCGCTACATTATAATAAAGATGTCAGTCAGTCTTAGGTTAACCAGAATTTTTAGACATGTAACATAAAACGACAATGATATGAACAATAACATCAAAAATATCATTGTTTTCTAGATCAGCCTTGACTTTAAATGACATTTTTTCTTAAATTAAAGATAGATCTTCTAAAGATATCCTTGTTAATATTGTCTATGGCATTCCCTTTTCTCGTGGATTACTTGTTATATTGGGCAGACTTCACGATATCTCAAATTTAGGATCACTTAACACAAAAGTGATTCAAGTCTACTCCGTCCAGATCGTTGTTCAGCATACCGCTTCGGTACATTTTAATAGTATATGTACATCTATAGCTCTCCAAAGTGGATTGATATGTAAAGCGACATAAAAATCAAGAAAAGAAAACACTGGAAAGAAAAATGTAGAAACAAGAAGGAATAGAGACAAATAACCAAAACAGTCTTAATACACAATAAATTATCTAAACCTAACTAATCCACCTCAGAGTTAAATAATACGCGATAGCGTAAACCCTAATCCGCAGGGA